AAAGAAGGATAGTAAGGCCCTTTTCCACATCTATCAAACAATTGAGATGTCAGTATATGAGAGAATTTCCAAAGCTGAAAATGCAAAGGAAGCATGAGAAAATATTCAGACGACCTATCAAGGCAAACAAAGCATGAAGAGGGTTTGACTCCAAAATTTGAGGAGAGAATTTGAGAAGTTGGAGATGCAAGAAAGTGAAAGCATTGAAAAGTATTTCACAAAGGTTACAACAATTGTTAACCTAATGTCGTCAAATGGAGAGATTTTGGAAGATGCAAGAATTGTTGAAAAAGTCCTTCGTAGTTTACCACCGAAATTTGATTATGTTGTGGCTACCATTGAAAGAGTCAAATGACATTTCTGCTCTTTCCATAGAAGATTTGCAAGGAAAATTGGAGGCCCATGAAATCAAAATAAATTTGAGGAATCCTCCTCCCACACAATCGGATCAAGCTCTAAAGACTCAAGTTACAACTACGGGAGGCAATAGAAATCAAGCTACTGGTTCTAGTCAAAGCTACGGTCACGGTTGTGTCGCAGTCGAGGTGGTAGAGGCGGAAGAGGAAGAGGAAGAAATTCTAATTTTCAAAGTGGAAGAGGCTCATCAAACAATTCAAGTGATGGTGAGAAAAATTCCAGTTCTTCATCATCATATAGGGGAAGAGGACTTGGTTATTTCAAGTGTTATTATTGTGACAGGCCTGAGCACGTAATGAGAAAGTGTTCTTACAAAATGGGGCAGCTGGGTTTATGCATGAAAGCAAGGTTGGTGATGGAGAGTCCAATGAAACTTTATTGCTCGCATGTCATGGAGATAGTATGGATGATGTGTGGTATCTAGATAGCGGAGCTTAAAATCAGGAATTTGGACGAGTTTTGTTTTCAGTGATACTGCAGCACATTCCTTAAGAAGACAGAGGAATATATTTGCTGTCTCAACCTGCATCATAGTCAAGTATGTGCTTAGTTTCCTTTAACTTTAGTGTCCTATGTATTAACAGTGTTAATCACCAGTCTTACTTACCAAAACAATTGCCTTCTTGTGATAATATTGGAGAGTTCGTTCTGATGTCCCCCTGAATGAGTTGAAATGTGTCCATTTTGCTGCACCGGTTTCAAAGACAAGCAGCGTATGGTGGTTCTCATCTGTAATTGGTATGAACACTCTATCAACTCTTCCAATATTTTCTAGGAGTGGCATATAGAAAGCATGATATGTCAGCTTGTGTGAGGCACCTCGCAAAAACATCTGCAAAAGTCATGTGTTGGTGATTAGTGAGCATGTTGATGATATAAAATTGATGTATTAGATGTGATCTTACATAGTTATTGGCGGACAAATATGCATTTTTCTGTTTCTGAGGGTTCTGCTTCGCATCATCATTAAGTGCCTCTCCATAAGCATCGATGATTAGTGCAGAAATTGGACCATCTCCCATCAGCTTTTCAATGTTATGTTTGTACAATATTGTCCTATTTTGTAGGTAAAAAGCGTCCCTGCGACAATAATGTTGTTTAAAAATGATAATCTCATAATAGTTTAATAACAAGACAGTTCTATGACATAGTATTAACAGTGTAATTCTATGACAGTTCTAAGGCATAGTATTAACAGTGTAATTCTGTGACAGATTGGCTTACTCATCAGAATCAGATGCAGATTTCCAGTAATTTTCCAACTTCTTCTTTGATATTTCATCCAGCCTGTTGTAGACCTCATACATGTGCAACTGAAGGTATGTATCTTTGTCCTCCTTTTTTTTGTTGGCTGCTTCATCTTC